ATATATATATATATATATATACATATATACATATATTATATATGTAGGTATACATATGTAGGTATACATATATTATATATTTATATATTTACATAAATATATGTATACAAATATATAATATATATACATACATATATTATATATTATAATATATATTAAAATATATGGAATATATATATATGGTGCGGCGCAAAATGTAGACCGGTCTTTTTTTTTGAGGCGCCGCTTTCAGATGTACGGGTATGAATTACAACTTGCACGTGATCCAGTGCGTTGGGAATTGTAGTAAAGCAATAGCGATACACGTGACGTTTTTGCATGTAGAATGTCTTTGTTTTTGTGAATTCATTTGGCCCCACAAAATCATAGGTGTAAAATATATTGATTTTTTTTTTTTACCTTTGAGTTTTTGATATTTTGGACACTTGCTGCTTGTTGCTGCATCTGAAAAGAGTCTCCCTGTGCTGCAATTTGGTCCTGCCTGCTTCCACAATGCCAGCACCTAACAGTTTATGCACCTTCAAATGGTGTCAAGCAAATGTCCATACTCAGTGTCTTCTGTGACACTATCAAGGAATGTAAAAATAATAAGTATTTGTATTTAGGAGGTAATTTTAACTGCACAGAAAATCCTATTTTAGACAGAAACCACTTTGAAGCCTCATCCTGCGTCATCACGTAGGTTCAGGCAAATAAGTCAAGAACATGAACTGTCAGAACAGATGTGAGGAGGACCAAGGGATGTTAGAGAACACACCATGAGTCACACTCACTGTAATCAGATATCTTTGGCTCGCCTGTAATGCTTTAGACATCAAATGAACATTTTTAAAAGCTGTCACATTAATCCAGCCGTTTTTTCTGATCATAACATTTTTAAAAGCTGTCACATTAATCTAGCCGTGTTTTTTTTCTGTATTGTTTTCTGCTCTGTTTTTATTTTAAAAAATGTTCGTCTGGGCAGTGCATATTGGCATTTTAAATCTGCACTGCTCCATGACAAAGATTTTAAAGCCGTTTTTTTTTTTAAATAGTTCTGGCCTGTGATTGGGAGAGATTTGCTGAAAGTCCTCACAGACAGTCTTCAGAGAGGACGACTGCAACGGAGCTGCAGGAGGGCTGTCAGGTTTACTATGTGCCAGGCAGGCTCATAAGTGACAACATCACTCTAATTAGGGATATTTTACGGATAGCTCACAACAGGACCACTGTGACTTTTTTTGTTTACAGCATTTGTGGGTTTAATCTTTTCTTCACCCCTTTCCTTCTACAAGTGTCCTTCACTACATCTGTGTTTGTTTGTGCCTGATGAATAATTATGCGATATGCAAATACAGCAGCACCGCTTGATTAACTTGCAGCTCCTTACTTCTTGTCTGCTATGATGATCAGAGCCCTGACTGCTGTTTATCATCCATAATGAGGGGCACCATCAAGGGCATCCAATATTTACATTAACTATTTCCTAACCTTAACCCAGGTGTGGGCAAACGTTTTGACTTGCGGGCCACAATTGTCGTTGTTGACAGGGGGGCTAAGCAGAAGTTAAATAGAACGTTGTTGACAGGGGGGCTAAGCAGAAGATACATTTGTGTGAACTAAGATAAATGACTGAGTTGTAAAACTCATGCAGAAAGGCTAAAATGGCTAAAATAAAATAAAAAAAATAATGTTCTACTCCATCTATTGGGGGAACTTGGGTATTGCAGGAAAAATGCAGAAGTGTAATGATAAATTACAAAATAAATTATATAATTTGGCTTCCAGTGGACTCACCACCCGCAGGAAGGTTTAGGGGGGTTGGTACGGTGCAGTGTGATTTGGGTGGCGACTGCTGCCCCCGCGACCCGGTAACGGATAAGCGGATGAAAATGGATGGATGGATGGATATATAATTTGGAAATGTTTTGCGGCCAGATTAAAAAGCTGAACGAGCCGCATCCGGGCCCCGGCCTTAGTTGCCCATGCCTGCTCTAAACCTAACCTAATTTATTCATCCAGAAACACTTGTGAACCACAGTGATACAGTGATACCAGTGAACACACTCAGAGGAGCTGGGACTCCTGCAATGTTTTAATTGGCAGTTCTCTGCGCCAGAGCAGACATAAGGAAAACTTTCAAGTCAAAGGTCATTGGCTATAAAAAGCTGAAGCTGTGCTTCATTGTCAACACAATCCTGCAGGATGAGTATGTGGATAAAATGCTGTACAGAATGGATTCAATTCCCAGAGTTTGTACATAAGGACTGCACAGATGGAGATTTGCTGAGCAGGTTTTGTTGTTATTCTTGTGGACTATGCTTTGATAAGCAGCATCCTTTTGGATTCTGTCTGAAGTGGACGTGAAACTGTTTGTTTTTTTAAACAAAACCTTTGAATACTTAAGCACAAATTTTTAACGATGACCAACAAAAGTATGCAGACCTGTTGCCATCTATGGTTGTTGTTATAGTATAATGTTTCAGTGTTGTTAGAAATTTTGTGTATGGAGATCAAGAACAAAAAACGCTGGTGTGACTCTTAACCTCAGTCGTTTAAGGCTTTGTCCAAGAGGCCTGATGAGAAACACAAGATGTGTTTGAGCCTGAACCAACAATGGTACAGTGGGGGACCAAGATATGAGTTAAAATCCGTTCCACAACAGCACTCGATTGTGTGTGTGTCGATTCATTCGTATCTACAAATATAATACTATATTGATAATATTTAAATATATATATATACTGTATATATATATAATTATATATAATAATTAAGAAAATATTTTATATTATTAAAAAATGGGTTAAATGTGTGAGCACGACAGTGTCGGGCCACTAAGCGTAGGAGAAGGACTGGGAGTGAGGACTCGAGTTAGATGAGAGAGAGAGAAAGAGAGAGAAAGGGAATGAGAGAAGTAAAGCGAAAGATAAAATAACCAAGCGAGGGACAGTGACTGAGACAGTGCAACAGTGTCAAGTGGAAAAATGAAGCTATCAAAAGGAAAATCTTGCAAGAGTTGCTTACTCATAACTTGAAAACTTGTATTTGGGGTAGCTCGGATCTCGGGCTCACTATATTAACATGATGATGGTCAATTTTCATTTTATCCTATTATAAAAAAAGCAGTAGTTGGTTTTGACTTGCTAAAGTAGAGTACATTATTATTTCGTTATTAATATTCATAAAACAAATCAGTCCAGCATTTGGGTCCTGTCTGCTTCCTGCCATGTCGATGCCCACACGTGACACTTCCTCTAAACATTACTTATTTCTACATGTCGATGCCCACACGTGACACTTCCAACATTACTTATTTCTTTGAAGTTATTTTGACTTCAGAAGTTGAGTCATTCTTTTGATCAGTCATGATTAATCTGCAGCCTCCATGTGAATAATGACATTATACTGTATCTATAAATACATATACATAATGTATATATTACCATAGTGTGTCTCACAGTAGTATTACCTATACATACATATGTATTAGTGTTGGAAAGACCAACTGTTTTTACTGATTCTGATCTTTGACTCTTGAACAGTAAAATGATACATATCTTGAACAAATCATTTCATTCATTTTTGAAGGATTTGCTGTTTGGTCCAATGTTCCTGTTATAACAGAAAATGTATTTTATCAGTTACCTGCTGATTCTCCAAAGTGCAAAACTGATCACGGCAAGGAGTGTCACATGCCTCCTGCCGACTCTGTAGAAGTCTGCCAATAGTCTAGTAATCCCATCTGCCACGCATGCTTATATTTACTTGTGTTATTTATTAAAGCATACGATTATCCTATATCTGTCATAAACCCTTAATAAAAAAATCGGCTTTGCAATCTTAGCTTTAGGCTGTGGTTGGACGGTATTGCTGCAAATGAGCTTTGTTGTTTACACCACTAAAATAGTTGTTTTATACAGTAAGTATATATAGGTGACACCACAATTGATGGTGAATGTCATCCACTGTGTCACTTTGTCCGGCTTCTATTGAATTGGACAGCTCTCTTTTTTCCACATGGGATTTTAATCTAAAAATTTAATATAATATGGATATTATGGACATAAATGATTTAAATTGAGGTAGATTTGACTGACTTACATAAAACAATGCTCTATCTCTATTGCACCTTCATAGTCAGTTATAAACTGTATGTCAACTATCCCCAAAATACTTGCTTGATAGAGGGGTTAAGATTTAGCAACATTAATGTCATGTCCTGGGTTCGATTCCTGTTCAGGGAACCCTAGGGACAAATCAAGGTTATTGAATTGAGAGTGTCGCTTTGTGTAGTTTTACGGATCAGCAGAGAACACCTACAAACTACTTAAAAAAGGTCCAGAACCCTTTGTAACAGGAACCAACTGTCCTGTTGTTTAGCCATTTAGTTTCAAATATTCACTCTCTCTAAAAGGAAAGGTTTCAGACTGCTGTGAATTACATGTTAAGTCTTTCCCTGCAGAGAAAGAGAAATGGCCTACAACCTTAATCTGAAGAATGAAATTATACAACTTGGTATTTTTAAGTTGTGTATACTTGAAATTATTGTGTTTTCATATCAAGGGCTAACACTAGAGGAGAATATCGTTACTAATCATGCCTCATTAGGTCTGGCTGGATCTTCCGACAATAGATAATGAGGTAAGTAAGTACCATTTGCTGCTCAAGTGGGGAGATAAACTAAAGGGAACGTGTGAACTTCTCCCCACAGCACTGCTGATCATTCAGCTATAACATGTAGCCAGTTGGTTCTCTTACTTTAAAGCAGTTTCTTCAGGTACCTCCAGAGACAGAGTCAGAGTTCCGGACGTGAGCTCACACAGCCCTGGACTAACACACTGCAGACCCTGTGTCACCTGAAAGACACACGTAGACACAACAACAAACACCAATTGTGACATTTTTATTTTATTTATCTATACGTCTTTAAGGTAAACCCACAGAAACTTGAATTTGGTGCTGGGCGTTATCTCACTCTGTCTGCCTCCCATGGCACCACCAGCAGCCTCTGTCCAGGATTTGGTTGCCATGGTTGCAAGGTAGGAAGAGGTGGTGTTGTGCTGGAGCTGGTAATGGTGGTTGGTTGTGAAGGGGCAGCCACCATGGTGGAGGCTGCAGGAGTGGCTGGTTCAGGCACGGACGGGGTGACGAGGTCCCAGTCCGCAGCTGAAAGGTCTAATAGGATCTGATCGCACCTCTCACCCTCATATCCTTCCGTACACTCACACGTGTACGCTGGTTTTCCATTCTCCCTGCTGACGCTTTGGCTGCAGTTTCCATGGAGACAGGGACTGCTGCTACACAGGTCTGTGAAAAACTGAAAACAAAAAAGAGAAGACAAAAAAAAAAGAACACATAAATAGAGGCAGATGAAACATTTGCATTGTTACCCAACTGTGTTTCTTGCAGCAGCCAACCCACATAGTCATCATCCACACTGAGCAACATTTTAAGTTATGTTATTACAGAGATCTGGGTGTACGTTCATACGTTTGTACGTGTAAGTTTATCTAATGATTGTCCCGTTAAATTTATATCAGTAAAAAGATACAAAGGAAATTGAACTGCGCTCAAACCTGGGCTCAACGGTCCACGTTGGCTGCATTTGACATGAGACATCCAACAAATTCAAAGTCATATTTTACTAATTACACAAAAAGTATTGACTTGGGCTGGGCTGGAAAAAGAACGAAAAGAAGATAACACACATCCTACAAAACAGTGGTTCCCAAACTTTCTCTGCTGGGCCCCCCTTTGGTTCATAAAAACATTTTCGCACCGTCCACCCAAAAAACAGGACACACACGTTTTTTTCACACATTTTAAATGTAACTTTTTTTACGCAACTAAAACTTGTCCACTTTATTCTAGCATTGCCAACTTTGGTCAGGCGACAGGAGTGAGATTTTGTATCTGGGGATGGGTGGTCAGCACACTACACAGAGCGCTCACCCACCCAAGAATTAACAATTACAGACTCCTTTAGAATATTATTGTCAGATATTAATTTTACATCACCTTCAACCAATCTGTTTTTTCCAGTCTCTTGTTAAACATTAACAGAATGAATGACTGAAATGAAACCACTTCAGCAGTTTAATAGATTTTAGCCTCAGTAGGACGGAAATTTTTATGTAAACTCTCTTTAGAAGGCCAAGGTTGAACTTTATTGATTGACTAGACAGACAGACAGACAGATAGATAGATAGATAGATAGATAGATAGATAGATAGATAGATAGATAGATAGATAGATAGATAGATAGATAGATAGTGTTAGATTTCAGTGGTTTTCACATTGGTGTGTCTGAAAGCAGGAAACTGTTAACACACACACATACAGTACATCCCAAGGCTTTCAGGCCTTCCTAAGTACACACATTTTCTGTACATAGCCCAACACATTCAAAGAGAATTTCTCCCAAATTCTCTTCACACCAACTCCTCAAATCCTTCCCCAGACGATCCCCTGTTGTTCCAAAACACCTCTACTCCCTGGGAACCAGAGAACCCCCCATTGTTTACCAGACCTTAAGTCTCTGTCACAAAACTACATATGTCCACTGACACCACAGAATCATAATGAAGCAGTCCCACCTAGTGGCAACTGCAGGCACAAGCATGGTCAGTTACCAGTACAATAGCAATATTATGATTGGCCACAAGAGTCCTAATCGCTCTCCTCCCCGTGTCCTTCATTGGTCCACATTAAACACACACCTGGGAAGTTGAAAACCACTTCTATGTATCAGAAGTTTTTCTTGAACGTGCGTTATAACAACTGTTGTACGAGATTTTCTTGAATACTTATCCAGTAATTTCATTTAGCTCTACCGTTGGACCTGTTTGTTTTGGCATTTGTCATTAAATGATTTAACCATCTACCGGCTTTTTTCATTCCCTGCCTAGGACTAGAAGAAATCCTTCAATTGGTGTTGTGCTCACAAATTGAGAAGAGCCAAATCTTTCAACAGGACCATGACCCGGATTAAGCAGAGCAAAATATTTCGTTAGATAGATTAGATAGATTAGATAGATTAGATAGATTAGATAGATTAGATAGATTAGATAGATTAGATAGATTAGATAGATTAGATAGATTAGATAGATTAGATAGATTAGATAGATTAGATAGATACAAAGATACAAAGATAGACCAATCTGTTTTTGCCAGTCTCTTGTTAAACATTAACAGAATGAATGAAACGTAACGCAGCATATTGTCCAATACAATATGCTGCGTTACATTTCATTCATTCATTCCGCCCCCATGCACCCACCCAGGGGTTGCACCCCCCATTGTGGGAACCTCTGCTCTAAAGTGTCTGATAATTGATGCCCAAAAAAACCACGTCAGCAGTTTAATTGTTTTTAGCCTCAGTACGACAGAAATTTTTATATAAACTCTCATTAGAAGGTTAAGGTTGAACTTTATTGACAGACAGACAGACGACCGACAGACGACAGACAGACAGATACTTTATGATTGATTGTACCATTTCCAATCTAGTCTTACAGTCCTTGGGAATTTTAACTCAAGTTCATGAAGGTCTTCTAAAGCCTTGGTTGTGCCCTCTCTAGTCTTCTATAATCCAGCTACATACTTCATATGAATGTGGCTAGGGCACAATCAGCTGTCTGCAGCCTCAGTAATCTCATTTGAATGTGATCAAATCACAGTTTCATTACAGGCAGGACAAAAACAAAACCCTGAGTGAACAGAGGAATGAAAATAATGCTCATATCATGGCTCTGAGAGCATATAGATCCGCACAGAGACTAGAGAGAGAGCAGAGGAACGTCGCATCATTAGCTGTCCTTTCACTGTTCGAGCTCTTCACAGTTCATCAGTGTTCTTCACTCTCTTTTTTTTAACTTACAATACTGCTGTTAAAAACTCTCTCTGCTCTGAAGCACAGCAGCCCTCAGAGTCCACCTGGCTTATCTGTCGTCAAAAAGCATCAGGGACTGAATCGAAAAACCTTTAACAAACAGCAGAGACAATCTGCCAAGAAACAGCATCTCATGACCTTTTCACAGACATGATTCATCCTCCAGCACAGACTGTGCTCTCACAAATCAGCTAAGTGAACACAACCAAATTTTAAATATACTTTTAGAAAGGTCAACAGTTCTATTAAAAATCATTTGTGTTTGAGTTGAGCTGAGGCTGCAGCTCTGACTCAAGATTAACAAAAAAACGACCTTGTGATGGTCAACGTTCAACCTTCACCACTTGACTCCTGCATAATGGAGTGATGCAGTAATATCACCTGTTCGACTGCAGTCACATGGAGCATCACATACTCCGTCTATTTTAGGAGAAACTGAAAGTGTTGCACCCTGACATAAATTTCTCTTTCCTTTTCCTCTACCTGTTACTCCCATACTCCCTAGATACTAGTGATGTGTTATGTGAAAAATATGCTTTGTAGTGAATCAGAAGAGCCGGCTCCCAGTTTTTTTCCTTTGTTGCTTACCTCAGTGCTCAGCCTGGGTTCTGCTCAAGGCAGAACTAAGTTTTGATTGGTCAGCATTGCGGCCAATCAGGTGTAAGGACGTAGGTTCATACCATTATGTGAAAACAGAGAAGGGGCGCTGTGAATGGAACCCCCTAATTTTTGTCTAATGATCTTGTTTGTCTAACTGACAGACAGACAGCGGTGAGGAGAGTGTGTGAGTGCCTCATGTAGTTGCGTATTGAAACTATGAGTAACACCCGAAAGCTAAGCAGCATCTGGCTGCAGTTTAAAGATACTGGAAACAACAAAGCAAACACTGAAAAATTAAAATAACTTTAAGAGCAGGTTCCACCACAAACCTGCATAGCCATATCAGAACCGTCCATCCTACAGTGCAGTTAGAGGAGAGAGGGCAAGCTAGCACACCGTCTACTGATCCTGGTGTGTCTCATCCCAAAACAACAGCAACTGCAGCAGCATCTACTGGCTTCCCCACACATGCAAGTATAACCCCTCCTACTGCAACTCAAAGCAAAATAATTCAGTTTATATCAAAACAGATGACCCCAGCCAAACAGCACAGTATTGATGATGAGTTGGCTAAAATGACAGCTACTGATTTCCAACCCTTTTCCATTGTGAAGGACAGAGGTTATAAAAGTTTTGTCAAAGCTTTAAATCCCACATACACTCTACCCAGTAGAAACTGTCCAGTAGAACACTGTCCCAAACAGCAATAGCTAAACTATATGATACAGAACATTCATTATGGCAATAAAACGGTGAAAAAAAGCTCCATCAGTTTGCTGTACAACAGACTGCTGGACCTCTAGAGCATGCATGATTAAAATATTAAACAAAAGAATGGTTTTGTAACTAAATAAATGCACAAAATTAGGCAATCATAAGGCTTCTCATAAAAACACTTGCACATGAAAGGGGTTTCAACACACAAACTATACATTTTTGCAAAGTTATGGTAAAATAAAGGCCTAGAAAAAATAAATTAGGAGCTGTTCAGGAGTCGAAAAAGCGGGTTCTTCTTTGGGAGCTACTAGTTACTGTAGCCACACACACACACACATTCAAGTCAAGATGGTGTGCAAAAACCAGGGCTTTTGGTTTTGCCCCTCTTGCCAATCTCTTTTACTATCACTACAATCACTATAGGCAATAGACAACATACACAAAATGAACATAGGCCTCAGCGTACATCTTTTAGTGGCAGCAGAAAAATTGTTCTTTGCTAGAATTAAAGTTAAAAATGTAAATTATTTTCCTCACATGACTTATTCTTTTTGTTTTTACCAATCCCAGAGGTTGTAGAAATTCCTAGCTTTGGGTATTGGACTCTGAGTATTTTGACACAGCCACACTTCAATGTGTCTACTCACACAACACCTTTCCTCCCACCCTGTAGTAACACTGAATCTGAATTTTGTTTCAGTCTGCTGAATTTGAACTTCTTTTTCAAACCTTGTCTTTTTCCTTTCCTTATCATAGATTACAATGTCATTTACAAACACTGAGGTTCAAGCACCATGATACACTGTTAAAAATGTTTGTAACTTATACGAATACATGTGAATACATGTCAAACCATGACAGTAAAAATCTGTAAACTCTAAAACAGTTTCACACTGTTTATATAACAATGACTCACCGTAAATCAGGAAAGTACAGTACTTTTAACATTTTTTGTCTTGAAAAAATACATTGCCTTGCTGTAATATTTATTAACATTCAGTACCGTGACTTTTGCATTTATTTCCCCCAAAAAATAGTTTTTCACAGTTAAATATATTTACTGTTGTGGGCCATACATTTTTGTTACAATTCAATACTGTAATTTTTGGATTATTTTCGCAAAAATAAGGTTTCACAGTTAAAACAGTTTAACATTTCACGTTGCCAAATCGTGTCAGTTGTTGTAAAATACTAGATCCCTATCCATTCCAAAAAGTTGAGGACCGATGCTTACGATTACAAGTATAAATGCTCTGTCTCGTTCGTGCACCCGGAGGTAATTATAGACCAAAACACAATATATGTACGTCACAACAATACCGCAACAGTACACAAACTGTGCAAGTTTAATGTTAATACTTCGTCCAGTGACAAAGTCAAATGCAGCATTGGGCCCCTCTGCTGGTTCACTATTGTAACTGCACCACAGCGCATGATCACATGGACTGCTGTTAAGTAGTGATGTGCGGATCGATCCTGAAATATCGATACTTCCGATTCTGGATCTTTATGCTCTGAAATCGATTCTGAAATCAAAATATCGATACTTTTGATACTTACGCATTCTGAGATGAGGTGTATCCTAAACAGAAACATGGTGAAAAGTATCCAAATTATTGAGATGTTGTCTAAGTGACGCTCGGTTGGTGGGACTACTTCTTCTTCCGCCTGGGTGTGTGCGTCATGCTTAAGCACAGGGGCTCTACTCCGTGCTCTCACTCAGTCACTATTGATGGGAATTTCGGCTCTTTTTTAGAGAACCGGTTCTTTTGGCTCGGTTCACTGAAAAAATCCGACTCTTTCGGGTCCCAAATGGCTCCTCAGATTATTTATTTTATTTTATTTTTTATATTTTTGTTTTACAAATAACATGTTTTCAGAGTTTGAAACATTGTTGCCCGAATTTTACTCGGTATCGGATCGGAAAGGAAATTGGTGGTATCGAACATCACTACTGTCGGCCGTAACTACGCCACATAACAATAATAACTTCTCTACATGCTCTTCTTTGCTTCCACTGACTCTTCACTCAGTCACATACACATAGACTCACTCGCGCCCAATCACAGACCTACCTATATAAGAGCGTTCACTGACACTCTGGAATCACAAGAGTTAACATTACAGAGAACCTGTCTATTTCACTATACATGAATTACATTAACAATTTCCCTTTCAAATGTTTTCGAAGTTTGA